CGCGGTGATCAACCGAGCAATAGGCAAAGACTTTGACAAATTCGTCAAGCTGGCGAAGGCAAGTTCTTTTTTCGAGAGGATTTGCCTTCGCCACTAGGCGATGTTTTCAATCATGGCATCTTCATGCCAACTTTTCCTTTGTTCTTCCTTCATAGGCTGCGGTTGGCGGAAGGTGGACTCAACACCTTTTTGTCCGCACACGCCGCCCCTGATCACTGTAGACCTGCGGACTACCAAAAAAAAAATGACCTGCACAACCCGCTGACGGGTATCAGAGTTAGAATGTGAGCGCCTTTGAGCTGATGAAATGCTAGATAGTGTTTTGTTTACGTTGCAATGGGTCCCGTCTAAGGATGAGTCCCGTAGTTTGTAGATTAGTCACTAGCCTAGCACGTCCTGTGCCCCGCGTAGGGGACCTGAGTGGCCTACGGCCACTGGACGGAAAATACACTACTACTACTACTACTGCCAGGACGGTATGGAGAACTTAACTTCACGCAATTCCTGCAACGCCTGGAGAAACTTGACCCGTAAATCTTGAATCGTTCTATCTAACACTAGCTTGAAGACCCAGTGAAACTCAGAAGTCCAATACGTATTCGTATTTCGATGTGCTATATTTTGGCCTATGGTCTCGTTTTGGAACCTTCCCTTCGTCCCATGCTATTGCTATGAAGCAATTGGCGTGAGCGAACCGCAGGGCCCGAATACATCAACCCAAGGGTCGACCCCGCAAGTATGCTAGTCTTGAGTAAAAGGCAAGGCCGACGCGGACCCAAGACAGCAAAACGACAGCAGGACGCCGCTACACAATTCAACGAACCATGAATTTTACTGGGTTTTGCATAGTATGCCTGTACTACTGCGCGTGTGCCTTGGCAGTCTAAATACATTTTGCCTCGTACTATATCAAAAATACACAACTCGTATATGGTATCCCCATTAATTGGTGTGGTTAGACATCAGTTGGGCATACACCTGATCTCTGATTCACGATATTTAGGAGTGGAATGAAGACCTTATGCTTCATGACCTCGCCTGCGACACTCTGTTCCTGCGGAGTCTGAACCCACCCCAGCAAATCCTTCCAAGTAATCCAATCCCAGGACTCGCATTTATCAGGCTCCAATAACCGAGGTTCGTCATCATTCTCCCGGACACAGACGTGAAATAGAGTGATGTAGTGCTTAGTGTCATCGGGCATGAAGTCATTGGTGGCGGTTAAGAACCGGATATCAGAAACTTTGAGACCAGTCTCCTCAAGCAGCTCACGGGCAGCACATTCCTCGGTCTTCTCTCCAAACTCTAGATGGCCACCCGGAAGGGCCATTGTGCCAGCACCATGAGAGCCCTTACGTCGGCCAACGAGAAATCGCGGATTTTCCCGGTCTTCATTCTTCGAGGCCAGCACAAAAACTGCTACCCCAACGCGAACCTGGGGGGCAGATGTGGCCATTGTGGGTTCTCCGTAAAGCGGCAATGGCAATGAGTCGGTGGCTAAAGTCACTGGTTGGCGATTTGTGACCCCGGCGAGTGAAAATGCGGAGTGTATAATAAATAATTACCAGCTTTATAGTTATGTAAAGTGTCTTGTTAAAGTGACATGTGGGCGAGGGGAAGTCAAAACCACGCTACAGTTGCATGAAACAGGAAATGCTACGTACGTAATGCGAGATTGAATGTTTGGACGAAAAAGATGGGTGATTGACTTAGATGGCCTACGCTAAACTAGGTCTGGGTTTTAAGAAACCCCCGAGACGTATTTGCCAGATCTGGAATAGCCAGGAAAAATTGGTTGTAGAGACGCAAATGGCGCTGTAAATCGAATGGCTCAAACTCAAATCGCTGCTAATTCAGCCTGCCCCATCGTTGCCATCCGACTTCTTGCCTAGAAGATTATCGTTGTTCCTGAAGTATGCTCCACTTGCTGCGATAAGGACCCCCCTCTGCAAAGGCTCCCGCACCATTGAAGCAGGTAGTATAACTGTAGTACCATACGCTGCCATGGCTGCGCTTTGAAAAGTGCCACAAATTGTGCCAGCTAGTACTGCAGACTGCATGCTCGGCGCAGGGGGTACACCCACTTTGTTAGTTTGTCTTATATGTCGCGAGATCGAAATTTAGCCTCCGCCCATGCATTGGACCTATTAGGAAGTCAGCCGTAATCGTGCCCGCGCCGATTTCCATAGGGAAGTATAAGTTGAAGGAGAGTCTTGATCGCTTTGGTAGCTTCCGTAGGCTTTGGGCGCTGATGCAGCACTCTTAATGGCAGCTTGATTGACATTGTTGCCAATATCCTTCCGGTCGACAGTCATATTGGGAAGCACGTCAACATTGTTGAACATGAAACAGCATC